GCAAGAAGGAAGAACTGTATCTGGCAACCTTGAACTCAGTGCTGAGGGATATACCTAATGTCTGTAATACGTTCTGACCCCCACACAAAAAATCAACCCTGTCCAGGCTACAGCCTGCCAACAGAGGGACGTTTAACATGGTGACTGACCAGTGAGCATCAGACATGTTGAACGAATAAGTCAGCCTGCACTTCTTATTAGCATCGCTTGTTTAATTTCTATGCCATCCAAATGTTAAAGCTTTGTGAGTGGTTTACAGCAACACATAAAAACACAAAGCACATTAAACAGCATCAAAAGATTAACATACAAACATTTAAACTAGATTTAAAACACACATAAAATTTACGGTAGTGTGAAAAGGTAAAACTTGTCCTGTTTTAAGCAAGTAACAAAGCCCCAGTAAGCTTATTAAATGCCCTGTGGTATTAGTCTTACCTTTGCACTGAAAAGGTAGCAAGGTTGGCTTGAGGCCGGCCTCAGCAGGGAGCTCCCTGAGTGGGCCATCATCACGGAAAAGACCCTTTTCCTTATTGCCACGGATCAGGCCTCCCTTGGAGGTGGCAGTTGCAGGCGGACCCCAGATCCTGATGGTTTTGCCTGGGTAGATAGCTGCCAGGAGAGGCAGTCCATTGGGTAGTGTGGTCCCAAGCTGTGTGGGACTTTATAGGTTCAAACCCCCACCTTGAATTGGTCTTGCAAGCATATTGGCATCCAGACTGGTCCTGTTAATCTGGCTGCCACGTTCTGTATTAGCTGCACTAGGGAAGGCAAACTCAACTCCTGTAGGAACTACTGCGTGTGATCTTTGGCTTTCAGGTTGATTTTGATTCAAAAATTGAAAAATTTTTTGAAGCTAGGCTCCCCTTTGTGTGCTTTTACTAGAATAAGTGTTGTGGTTCATTAGAAAATCAGCACTTGAAGTTTTCCAGTCTCCACATAGTATAGTGGAAAGGATATTTGCTGCACATGTTTAGTGGGTGTTAAAGAGCAAAAGTTTCACTTCTGCACATAAAGTGCTGCTTACCGAGTGTGAGCACCTGTAACGTAATGAGATTAAAACTACTGAATCCAAGCAGCACCGCTTCCATTAATTTTCATGATGTCAAGTGGGGTGTTCCAGCAATTAATGCTGACTGATGACTTTGCTTATTACAGTGGCTTACAGTCAGATGATTTTGAAGAAGTTGTTTTAGTAATACGTGGGCACGAATTAACAGGCTGTTTCCTGGTTTATTTTCTAAGCTATAGAAATATGTAGCGTGCTTATGCCCCCTTTCCTTGCTTCCTGGGTAGGCTGTTGAAGAACCCTACCCAGGTGTAAAACTTGTAAACTGTGAAAGCACCTGAAACATAATACGTTATATACAACTTACGTACAATTAAGCAAATAGTATGTCCTTGTGTTTAATTTGTCTAAGTTGCAGAGTTTGGACTTCTTGGGGACCTAAGAAATTTGTTTCCTTAAATACTGGTGAAGTTTTCCTGGCAGAATAATAGCACGGTTGGTGTAATGAACTACTAAACTGACCAGCTTGGTTCAGCTGAACAACTACAGACCTAATGGCTTCATTGATTTTTCGTAACAGCCCAGCTGATCAGTTGACTCCACTGCCTGCTCCAAAGTTTCCTTTTCTTTCCCCAAAATGTTTATGTGACTGTTTAATTTTGGTGTCCTGCAAGACAGCTTGCCTAATTTGCCTCTAAGGCACAGATCACCAAAAAAATGCAGGCTTGCACAGCTTTCAGGACTTGTTGTCATATCCCCAAGTCAAGAAAGCAGATTTTGAAATAATATATAGTTTGAATAAAAAGGACTCTTCTTTTTTGTTTCTCCATGATGCTGTAAACAGGGCTTGAGTCTGCCTTGGTTATTGTCAATGTTCAAGGAGTACCTAACAATGATTCCAGCTCTTCAGGGTTGTATAAGGATAGAACAGAGAAGGGTCAACAGCCAAAGCTTTACTTGAAAAAAAATCTGACAGGGTGAATTAGAACCCAAGTTGCTGAAATGATGTGATTGCCCAATGACTTAGAAAGAAAATCAAGTCCAAACTTCCATATGGCCAAAGGGGGTTTGGACTTAATTCTCTTGTTATTTGTCTTTCACATATGCGATAAATGGGTTCTGAAATAAGTGGATTTCCAAAAGTAGTTTGTGCAGGGTGGGGAAGGTTAAACCTATTTTTTAAAACTGTGCTTTTTCTGTAGTTTAAAAAACCGGGTTTCTTCATGTGTGTGGTCCGTCCTTTCCCCTCCACCACTTACCCTAGCCAAATTTTAGGTTCAGTGTATTTTGCTCAGTGTATTTTGCTCAGTTTACTAAATTGCTCAGTGTATTTTGCTCAGTTTACTAAATTGTTTTGCTAAAAACTTTACCTGTTTTGAACTGTTATAAACAACTAGGGTCTTATTTATTATTGTAGAAACCTTACCTTATACATACTTTTATGCTGATTAAAAATCTGACTGGCTGCCTTTAAAAATAATGTAATGACATTTATTGATCAGAGCAATGGAATTAATTAGAAAGTGAATTAACTGCTCTTCTCTAGAATTCCTGGTAGTGATATAACCTGCTCACTAGGAAACACTAATCAATATATTTACATTCATTATTATCTAATTAATTGTACTGCTTGGCATGCCAGCATGAATGAGTACAAATAAAATCCCTTTGGTGACTGTCTAAATTGCCCATCCTTTCTGTGGATTCATTAGAATTCTTTTTGGATGTAAACTTGGCCTAATCTGAGAGCTGTTGCGGACGGCTGAAATAAAATGTTTGGGATCTGCAGTTGTTCAGATGTGATTTGAAGTACTTGATGACCGTCTGAGTCCCGGTGCTGGTATTAAATGCATTGTGCAATGTAATTTTTTAAATATTTCTTTAAAACCTCCAAGTACATCTTGCACTTGGCAGAACATTTTGGTGATAACTTGGCTGCAAGCTTATGGTTAATGTACATCCTGAAAGGCAAGATTTTGTTTGAGAGTTGTCGTTTCTAAATAATATAATAAAAGGAGAGAAGAAGGGGGCTCCCCATCACACTCGGGTCCTGTTCTGTGCCTCACACATATTGCGCTTCGGTCACAGCTTGCGCATTTGGAGGAGATTCTGGTACTTCAAGCCTGGCTTAGCTGAGTGAAGTCATTTACCTTCATTGATCTAAGCTTCCACATGTATGGAACTTCCATGCTTGGAGGAACATCTAAAGGCTGCCACACTTGGCAAGTGAGTTTCTGTCCGGAGCATCGTGTGTCTTCCTAGCTATTCTTTTCCATGCTATCGCTGCCCCTATTTTTCTGCTGTCGGCAATTGTGTAGTGGAAACTATTGCAACCAGACAGGAAAGAGTTGTTGAAGTTTCATTTCAGTCAGGTGTATGATCTTTTAGTGCAGCTGCTAACATTGCAAAATTCTTCTCACTAGCTGAGATTTCTCTAGAGCATTGCCTAAAAGACCTGAGTTTCCACAGGCTCCTTCAAGTTCCTCCAGTGGAACAGGAAACCCTGTGGCAAGAAATTATGTTTTGAATGGGAGACTGCTGCTTGCCTGTTGCCCTTGCTTAAACGTGTTTTGCCGAGTGATGTGGCTATTTTGCCCTCTTTTCCCACAGGCATCTTCTGTTGGAGTACCTGTATTGCTTGCCAATATGGAAGTCCACTGTGGGGTGGCCTCCAAGCTTGATGAACACCTTATGCACCTTTGGTGCTTCAGACTTGGAGAAAAACTTCTCATACAGATCTTTCTAATGCAAAACTCGTGCTTTCTCGGTCTTCTTAAAGATAAACCTTTTCTAACAGTTATTTCCTAACGTGATTAAAGTGAGGGAAGCAGATCCAAGGATTAGGGTTCAGTGCATGTTTTTCAGGTTACTTCTGACGGACGAATTGCGATGCATGGGTGCACACTGTGCTCAGATAGCACCACTTTGTGCGTGTTTCCACGTACACAAAATTGGGTGGTCACATTTTCAATGGAGACTTGCTAAGCGCATTAGACATTTCTGTGCTTTGTGTGCCTTGTATTTCACCCCATGCTTCAAACCTGTGTTCACTGTGTGGTCTGAGTTACTTGTTCAGAATTTCTTATGGTTGATCCCTCTCTAAACTGTCCATGTTTTTAATAATTTCCAAAAAATTCTAAGGTTTCAGAAATTGCTTTTAATAGATGTGGAGAACCTGATTCAAAGCACGGAAATGTCCACTTCAAACCCATGTGCACAAAAACTCTTGAAAAATTAGGGTTTCTCAAAGCAGGTACAAAAACTATTTGGGGTTTTTAAGTCAAATTCATTTTGGAGGACAGTAATGCTGTTGAAGTAATTTCTGAAACTGATTTTGAGGCCAATGTTTCCCCTGCATGTTAACAACCTCGATATTTCTCAGTGAGACTAGTAGTTAAGTTTCTGACATGTTATGAAGAGTATGTATTTGTTGCATTCATGTCCCGCCTTTTTCCACGCATAATCCAAGGTAACTTGTGTAATCTTCCCTGTCTCAGTTTTATCCTCACAAACAATCCCTAGAGGTATGTTAGGTTGTGAGTCAGTGACTGGCCTAAAATTATTCTGAGCAACACTGGTACAGGTACCTGAGCATGAATGGAATGATACACATTTAGACTGCCGTGCACAAAACCCTTCCACAGAAATGGTGCTGGTACTTATTGTCAAAACCTCCGTGGGTTTTTGTCCCAACAGCCAGATAATAATAATAAAAAATAATAATAGTGAGATATTTTTACAGATTAGGCTAATTACAGCAAGAGTGAGTACAACTGTTGTTGTTAGCTTTTTGCAACAAAGTCTGAAATGAAAACTAAAAATTGCCTTGTCACATTTTAAGCTTGAAGAAACCTGCTTAGCCTCTCACAGTAGATCTACTCACTAGTCTGTGTTGGAGCCCAGAATTGAACCTTCAGCAGTGCTTGTTGCTCACCTGCAGGGGGAAGGCAGCATTCGGTGTAAAGTTGCTTTCTTCTGCTCTGCCTTTCAGATCCCTAGTTGAAGAGGAGGACCCTCACATGAAAGTGTCCCTTGGGAGCAGCGATATGGGTGTGTCGGCCCATCTGCAGTCGTCAAAGGCAGGGACTACAAGGTTCTTCACCAGCAACACTCACAGTTCTGTGGTACTACAGGTATGGTAACACCTTGAACTGAGCTGGCTGCATCTTCTTTTTGGGACTCCCACTCTTTTCAGGGGGCATTTCTCGGTGCAATTGTCTCCGTGTCAAATGGATTGTTTTAGCAATGCCGTTCCATTTCAGGAATCTGAGTTACTTGAAAGGAGGAGAACAAGTAGGAACATTTGCTAACTTCTGCAGTTCCTTCCCCCATCTCCCCTCCCTTCTTTTTGCCAATTAAACATTCTGATCATATTGGCAATGGTCTCAAGAAACCCAGCCTTTCTGAGTAATTGAAGAGGACTGCATTACAAGTTGGACATTGTGCAAGCAGAGAGCCATTTGCCAAAGGATCGCATTTGAATGCCTTCAAGGAAATTTGCCAGGCAAAACTGTCTTTCGGTGTTAATATTTTGCTTTTCCTGCCTCTTTGTTCTCTTAGCTTAGAGCGTGTTTCAGCAGGCAATTCAATTTCATTATCTGCTAGTGCACAGTGCTGGAGTCCAGAGACATCCTGTGGGCGTGCTTATAGTAACCATCTGCTGCCACTACTGGGTAGTGCGCTGGTCTGTGACTTGCATTTGAAGTTGCTGTGAAATGAGGCCGAGTCCAACACCCTGTATATGTTGCCTTGTTCCCCACTGCTGGTGTGAAGGAGTAGAGTTGATGCTGTAATTTCCGTGATCTCTGTATTCCGGGAACTCACTCCTATTCAGCTTGCAGTTTGTGCTCCACTGGTTTCTTGTATTAGAACTGCAATATTGCGTGGAAGGTCAGAAGCTTTTGTGGACTCCCAGACGGCCTGAAAGAGGAGAGAATCCCTTAGTGCCTGAGTGTGTGTGTGCACTAGCTTAGAGCTGAATGACATTCCCATTTTCTTGGCTCTTTTACTTTCTCACAGCAAGGCCTATGAGGAGGAATTGCTGATGAGGGCTGGAGCATGAAAGGAGGTGGCAGAGGAAAGCTTGTGATGGGAAAGGGAAAATAGGGTTAGGGTACATGCTGCTTCTGAGTTTCATACGCAACGTGGGTGTTCACACACACGACCAACCGTCCAGCTCTCCACAGGTTCTCCCTCTCCTTCCCCCATGTCCTCCAGCCAGTATTCCAGAGTCCTGCTTGCCAGCGCTCCTTGTGTCTCCCCCTCTCTTCTCTGACGACAACTATGTCTTTATTTGCCTTCCTTGTCGCCCTGCAGAGCCCGATGCTGCCACCTGAGACAGCCACTCCACCAGTGCCTCTTTGCAGTGATTGTCATTGGCTCGTTCCTCCTCTAAATTTAGCTTCCATATAGCCTGAAGTGCCTGATGCTGCCTAACCTTGGAAGCTAAGCAGCCCTGGGCCTGGTTGAAATCTGGATGGGTGACTTAAAATGTCCTGAAGCACCCAGAGAGCTTCGGCTATGGGCAGTAGAGATGATGATGATTTTTTTGGTCGGCACAAATGTGCACAGTAAAGAGAATTCTTCTCCTGCCACATTTGAGAGCGGATGCTTACCAGCACTTTTCAGGCAGCCGTAAGTGTGCACCCCCTAAAGATCAGTTTTTGTTAAAAACAAGGACAAGTATCTCATTTCTCTCCGTGCCCCCTCCCGTGAAAAGCGTTGCCAGTGACAGTTGCTACGGAGTGCCGCTTGGAAGCAGGGAGGCTGCTGGAGGTGGCACAGGCAAGGATGGCAAAGCATCTCCACTGCTCTTGCTGGGCTGCTCGTGCATCGCTGCCTGTGGCCTGCAGTGGGGTCCGTGTCCAAGGTTTGGACAACGTGGCAACACATTGTGGCGTCAGCCACCCCACAAGCCAGGCTTGCCAGGGTGACTTGGTGCCTCCAGGCAGGCCATCCTGCGGAAGGTGGTTCTGGTTTGCCTGATGCAGCAGCCCACCGTGGCCCGCCACCCAGGATGGGTTCCCATGTTGTGTGAAGCCAGTCAGTTGCCCCAGTAATATTTAAAGCAGCCTGCTGGGAGCATTAGTATTATACTTGCTCAGTGCTGAGGAAGGGCATGCTGAGGCGAAGGGAGACTGGCTTGCCTAAATCCATCTAGTATATTTGTGGCAGAGATAAGATTTAAACTGAGGATTTCCTTTTCGTAGCTTGACTCTTTAACACTTGGAACTGTCTCTTGTCCATCCTCAGATTAACACAGGTAGTAGATGAATTTAGCTGATACTTGTGAGGCCCGCCCAGTTTTGAAAACTTGTGGCCGTGTCTTATTCAGTTGATTCCATTGCTTTTCCATTCTGTATCTGTTTCCCGGCTCATCTGTTTCACCACCTGAGTTTTTATGGTCTTCATTGCTATTTAGGTCACTCTTGATTTTAAAAGGGGCTACTGTAAATGGGTCACATGTACATCAACAGAATGTACCTAAAAGTATAATAATCGACTTTTCATATTCCAGTTTTTATCATGAATGTTTCAATGTGCAGTAATGGATTATAACCAGACCCTCGAGTTTTGATTATTGGTTGGCAGCACTGAATAACTTCAAATTGTGAATCCAGATTGCATGACTTGGGTGGCCATATAATGATATATTCCGGTTTGGGGTTTGTATAGAACAAAAGTCTTGTGGTCCTCCAGATGGCTTAGTCTACAGCTTCCATCACCTTTGTCAGCATAGCTGGTGGTGAGGGATAATGGGAATTGTAGGCAAAATATTTGGAAGGCTGCAAGGTAGCCACCAATGGTATAGAAGATGATGGTGAATTTAGGGAGGTTCCCTACAGTTGAGGAAATCTTGTCCCAGGTTTTCGGTGTTTCTTAGTGTTTCATATCCTTAATCTCCTGTATGGGAGATTCTTAATTGTTAGTAGAATATAGGGAAGAATTGTTTTTTCCCCATCTTTCCAGGGTCATTTTTAAATGGTAGGAAAGCTATCACTATTTGGGGTAGGTTGTGGACCTGCAGCAAAAGCGAAACCCAGCCTCTTCTTACCTAAGATAACTTCCAGCTAGTTGAAAGAGCAAAGCAGATCTTCCTAATTGTATGGAGAAGTGGAGCTTTCGCTCTGATAAGTATTTCTGTGTTGCATAGTAGCTCCAATCCTTTGCCTGTGGTTAGAGGAGGAAGTGGAATCTTCCAGCCCCTTCAGTTCAACTTACAGACCTGCTCCTGTAAATGAACAGCTTCTGAGCAATTATGGGTATTGTTAAAATTAGCAAGAGGTGATTCTGGGAGATCAGGAACCCAAGGCCTTTCCTTCAGATTCCTGTAATTAGCAAATGGTGTGTGGCTGCTTGATTGATCATTGAGTATTTTGCAGCAAAATAGATCATGCTCTGGCAGCTGAGGGGAGCTGTTCATGCAGTCTTTTCTCTTGTAGGGTTTTGACCAGCTCCGAATAGAAGGTTTGCTTTGTGATGTGACACTAGTGCCAGGCGATGGTGATGAAGTGTTTCCTGTTCATAGGGCGATGATGGCGTCGGCTAGTGATTACTTCAAGGCCATGTTCACAGGTACGGTTAACGGGGATGAAGCACACCGTCCCGCCCCATGCGCGTTCAGCATGAAAAGCTCTTTCGAGGTGAGCGTGGATGCATGCGCATGCACAGACACTCTTATTTGCCTGGTTCCGCTCATGCTCGCGTATGAATCCTTTCTTCCTCTGGGCCAAGGCATTGTGTAGGGCAAGTTCTTTCCAGCTTTAACCATATTTTATCTAAATTCTGTTCTCAGGTGGGATGAAAGAACAAGACTTAATGTGCATTAAGCTCCATGGCGTGAACAAGATAGGTTTGAAGAAGATCATTGATTTTATTTATACTGCAAAACTTTCTCTCAACATGGACAACCTTCAGGATACTCTAGAAGCTGCCAGCTTTTTACAGATATTGCCTGTGCTGGACTTCTGTAAGGTGTTTCTGATATCTGGGGTAAGACATCTTAGGTTTTTGTCCAGTTTGTGTCTTTTTGTTGTTGTCGTTGTCTTAAATCACAGGGAGTTGACAGCCTGAATGATTCCTTGTACAAGCCTGTTAAACGCCTCTTAAAGCTGAAGCAGGTGTGACTATTGGAATTGCCATGAAGGGAGTTCTGCAAGCTAATTATTTCCTAGATAATAGAGTTGGATGAGACCAGCTCAGACTGCTGATGTGTTGTGTGATCTTTTTGGTGAGTGTGCTTAGGATGGATGCAGTGGTCAGTCGACTGCTGGCCATTTGGCTATCGTCAGATACTCCAGGAATGCTGCCATGTGAACGGCAGGTCCTCAGCTCACTGCTGGGTCTTCAGTTTGCAAGAGCACAGGAAGGATTGCTTGTGTCCACAAGGCCTGCTGCAGCCAGGGACAAACTCGGCAGGAAGGCAAAGCCTCTCCTAGTGGCCCTGAGGCATCGCCAAGCAAGCACACACTCCAAGCATGCGTGGCTCCACCTTGCTTGTGGCAGGAACCCCATGAATGTAATACGGTTGCCTGCATCGTGAGGCACTTGTGAAGGGCAGGATCCAGGTCTGGGAAAACAGTAGCTGTTAAACAAACTTAAAGTTACTGTTTTAACTTAAAAAGGAAAAAGAGCAAGGTGATACCTTGAGTGAAATTTTAAACTGTAGCATATCAGGGAAAGCCAGCATCTTCCCTGTTCATATACGGTTAATTGAAAATGATGGGACCAGTATTTCACACTGCTGTGTCAAGTGTTTGACTGTCAGTTTGACTGGTCAAATGTCCAATCTGAGAAGCGCATTAGTGAATTTCCAGTGCATATCCTGGTCCCCAAATAATTTTCCAGGCATGTTTAAGCTGAGGGAATCTTCGTATGGACATTCTGCCTCTCTTCCTCTCTTTCTTTCTGTGCTATATAAAGGAACTGCATGAACAAGACCCCCCCACCCCACCCCATAATACCTGTTTCCTCTGCACAGGGTTTGGGTGGGGGACCGCTTCACACATGACCATCTGGGGTATAATCTTAAATTTGTATAGCGTGAATGGGACTATTCTAGAAGTGTGACCTACAGATGTCACGCTTCGTTGACATGTTGCTGTCATTTGTTGCAGCACAGACGGCTGTGTCTACACGTGTGAAGCATCCTAATGCCCGTTTCGTGTGAATGTGCTCTTGCCTCTCCCCTTTTTCATCCAAGAGTTCAGCCATTTGGTCTTCCTGATCTGTATTCCATAGCAAGCTTCATGTTCCGAACAAATGGCTGAGTTTTCAACTTTTGAGGAGGTTCTTGAATGAGAGAAAACAGAAGGTCCAGTTTGTAAATTGTCTTCATGTACTAAGAATGGTAATGTCAGTATATAACAGCCGGGCTCTGCAGCAGGAGGCAGGAGGCAGGTTTTGCTTGTTCTGTCGTTTGCGGGAGAGCATCTTGTGCTTGCATAAGGTCCATTTTCTCTGATCTATGTGTGTGTTTTGCTTGGGGCAGAAGGGCTCAGAGCCATGCTTAAAAAGCCAGGGAAGTCTGTGCCATTTTTCATCTGGCTTGCAAAAAATCATGCCCTCAGAAAAACTGACACGACATTGATTTAACATGCAAGTATTCAGGACTGACAGTCATGGATTTTTAAGACACGTTCTAAGATTAACAAGGGAGAAAATACAGATTCAAAGAGCCGTGTATGGAAAAAAAACCGTGGAGCATTTACATGCTGCATGCCATAGAGCAGCCTTCCCCTACTTGGCACCCTCCAGAAACGTTTGGCCACAGCTCCTATTATTCTTAGCGTTAGGCTGTCAGCTGAGAATCGGGATTTGCAGGCCAACACATCTGGAAGGCACCGAACAGAGAAAGGCAGTTGTACAGTTGTCTGCTTGAGATAGGTAATCCTTGAGCCTATGTTTTAAGTTTCTGAATTTCCCGTTCAGCCAATACTATATGGAACAAGTAGAATTTCGATTCCGAAGTTAGTTTGGCATCTCCTCTGAAGAAAGTCATGTCTGAATTCTGAATGTCTGGATGCCAGGGTCCAAGGGACAGTCGCAAGGCAAAGGAAGGTCCACACATTTTATCCTTCCGTTTAGCAATGAGGTGATGGGATTATCTCTGTGTCAGTTACTCTTACAAACCTATTCACCATTGGCATTTCCTAAACCCACTCCTTTTTCATCTGTTACCGCCGCCTCAATTTATTTCTCACCATTTTCAGGCTTCAGCTATGCCATCTGGGGCTGCCACCATCAGTGGCTGCTGTTTCTCACTGCCTGTTCAGTTTAGTCGCAGTAGCTTTATCTGACGCTCCTTGCCACCACCGCTCCCATTTTGCTCCTCTCTGTGGGATGGAGTTTGCACTAAATTTCGTAGTGTGCATTAACCAGCCAGCCAAATATGCTCAGTGTGACTTGGTGCAGAAACCATGAAAGCCTTCTATGCTGTTGTCCCTGGACTCTGCTAACAGGAAGAACACTATGAAGGGTTGGGGCGGAAGGAAAACAGAGGAAAACAAAAGGGAGCAGGAAGATAAAGCAGGCAACGGAGAAGGGGGTCCGGAGACGTGGGCAATGAATGAGAGCGGTGGGGGGGGCAGAGCAGATCTGTGGACGCAGCAGTCCATGCTCATGTCCAGTATGGCATGAGGCAGTGGACAGAGTGCAGATTCCCGTGGCTGGAGGCCGGTTGCAACGAATCGACCACATGCCGGAGAGAGATGCAGAAAGACTAGGCAAGCTGAAGGTGCGGTGTTGCACACAGAATGCTGAGGGAAAGGGGCACAGAGAAGAGCAGGGGCTTCACTAGCAAAAAGGTTAAAACCTCACTTTGTTCACACGACCCTCAGTGGGCTGCTGTGTCATCCAGTTCCGGGCTGCTTCTCACAGGGCGGCTTATTTTGGAGCAGTAAGCCGCCCTGACAACCCATGGCTTGTTCTAGGGGATATTCGATCCACAGTAAGTTGGCGTGGCATCTGGTTGAGCCCCTGCTGCTCTCGCCCATCCCTCTGTGGTGACCGTCCTCTTCACCAACACCCGAGAGGCATTTTGGAGCACCTGCTACTGGCTTACCAGGGTTTAGGACCAAAGAAGTGCAGCTGTTTGTTTAAGGTGGGCCGGGGCTCCTTTGCGCGTCTGCATTTACAGCGATGTGATTTGCAAGGCCTTGCCTGAGCAGTTCCCTTGTGCTTGGTCAGAGGAAGCAGGAAGATGAAGGAGGCGGCATACATGGAAAGTGGCTGCTAAGGCTGCATGTAGGCAAATCTGTGCGCAGTTGCCCTCAGCCAGTCCCCTGTCAGTTGAATGAAAAGCAGGGGTAAAGGCGGAAAAGTGGCAGAAGAGGAGGGGGCAGTCAGTGGCGGGGGGGACGCTCTCCCTTATGCCAGTGTGACTCCTAGTTTGAAGCTTTGAACTGACAGTTCTCAGTGTCTTCCTGCTTTTCAGTGCATTTTAGGGGTCTGGGAAGACTATGCAGATTTAGTGGCTGGGAAGTAAATGGAGGTGAATTTTGCATACATTTTGAGGGCTGAGAAGTAAATGGAAGAGCAATTTGCACACCTACATTAATTTTTTCCATTACTGCAGCTGCAGAAATCTCCCCCTCATTTGTTTCCTGGCTCTTAAACGTATGCAGAACTTTTCATTTATGTTCTGGTTTTGACATTTGTGAATACCTCTGTGAGGTTTTTTAAGAACTGCCATTGAATCAGAGGAATAGTAGTCATCTGAGCTCCAAAATGGTGCCCCCAAAAGAAAGTTTATGGGGAGTTACTAGCCCCCCTTTCTGGAGTTGCTTGGAGGCTCAGGGAAGTGCTGAAAAGATGAAGGAAACTTGACCCTCAATTCGGTAATTAAACTGAGAGGGTAGCTTTGGCAGCTGGGAGATTCTGCCTCACTGTCACTTCAAGCACATCTTCTGTCCCCCTTTTCTCTTCCTCCATGCTTTTTACCTTACAAACAGAATCTGCCCCTGGCAAATGTGGGCATAATGGGTGAATATGCCACGTGACTGGTTTCACATGACCGTTGCAGCCCTTGTGGCCTGCTTAACTGATGGTGGGAGGCAGGGTGTGGTGGCACCAGTCCGAATACTTCAGTGGCCCATAGCAGGTGCTGCAGCTTGCCCGTGGCCCAAGCCTGAGCACAGGAGCTGTCTTAAACGCTCCACAGTCTCTGCTGGAGGGCTATTTAGGGGTACCTAACTGTCCAACAACCCCTGCAGCCTGGGTTGGAACAGCATGCTCCCCCTCCCATAAGGGCCACTCATTTTGGCGGGAGCTCTCCCTCTGTCCCTCTCGGAATAATTGCTTGCCCGTCCAGCTATCACTTCTCTGTTAAAAGTGGAAGCACTTCTACCATTCTTCAAAAATGGCCTCAAAGCAACCTTAAGGTGAAAGTTCACCGCTCCACTGTGTAATTTCCCCCAGGGTTCACCACTGTGGCTGCATGACAGTTGTTGTGCCTCCTGCAGCCCTACAGCGCTTCCCATTGAATGGTCTGGAATGTGTGAGAGTCTGTGTATCGGCTGTGATTCTTGCCCCATGTTCCAGGGCCGTACTAACAACACCCTCCGAGGCGTGTCTGTGTGGAAGGGACCCCTTTGGCGAGGCGAGCGTGCGTAGGACCGCAGCCCTGTAGAACTGTTACGCCAAAAGGCACGTTATAGAATGTAGCGTGAGCCGCTGATCGCCTAACGCTTATGGCGAAATCCTGCTCCGGGACTAGAATGAGCACATGATGGAGCCTCATAGTTAAGCAGTTGCTTGGAAGGCCATCTTCCAGAAACTGTAAACTTCTAAGTAAACGTGTTCTAAGACTGGGGGTTAAGCTCAGCAACTTCCTTGAAAGAATGTGCAGTTGGTCAGAACACAAAGCCTCACTGCTGGCCAAGTTAATAAAATAATTCAAATAGTGCTGAAAAGATAAGGAAGTGCTTGTCAACCTTCTGTTTTGCATGCCTGAGCCGTAATAATGTAATTTAGCATGAATCTGTCAGCTGGGGGTGAGAAAGCTATTCGTGTGGTGTAATGTGGAAATTGCTGAAGAAAATTCCTCGTGTCGCCTGAGTTCAGTGCAATTGGTGCAATATCTTACTTTTTATTGTTCTTCTTTTAAGTCAAAGAGTTCCTTGCCCTCCTGGTGACTGTGGACCTGATCACAGGAAGGCTAACGGGGACTGAATTGGAGCAGTCTCTGCTTTCCTTTGCCATCCAAACAGTACCTATCCTTATTCTAGACAATAAGTGAAGCTTGCATGCCTGCCCCACCCATGTTTGAGGGCAAGGGTACCCCAATTGAACTATCTATTAAGGATACTGGCCCCTATGCAATGCTGCAGCTAACTCCTCGAGCCTCCCCCCCCCCCCCCGCTTCAGCTTGCACTGATTAGGCAAAGCTGATGTTTCAGGAGGTGAAACTGACAGCAGTGCATGAAAAGTCCTGTGCGCAAGCATGCACCGCTAAGCCGAATTCACAGATCCCTGAATTCAGCAAATAAAAAGGCCACTGTCTTCTACCCTGCCTCATAAACTCCCCATGGGTACCTAAGTGACCCTCATTGGAAGCAAGATGCTGTCTTAGAGAAACCTTTAGTCCGATCGTAGGGTAGCTATTTGAAGTACCAGGCCATGCATCTAGGCTATGTCCTTGGAGAGTAATCTTGCAGTGTTCATTCCATTACACCTTCTTTATAGCAAAGGGCTATAACTCTGTGACCCCAATCCATTCTTTGCATGGGGCTTGCTGCTGTGTTAATTTGGCTGTGAAAGTCCCTGCCTGAAACCCCGGGGAGACTTTGCCAGTCAGCGTTAAGGGTGCTGAGCTAAAGGGATTAATGCTTTGACACAATAGGAGGCCTCTTTTCGTATACTGTTCATGTGAGAGATTTGAATGCCTGTGTGAGTTTGCTCTTACACATCTCAGCCTAAGGATGTGTTCATTTTGCTGGTTTCTTCCCTCATTAGTCTTGTGTTACTGTAATGTGCCTCAATGAGCATCAAGCCAGAACTTAAAGTGATTTGTTGTTTCTCTTTTTTTTTAAATAAGGTTTCGTTAGAGAACTGTGTTGAAGTGGGGCGGATTGCCAATACGTACAACCTCACCGAAGTGGATAAATACGTGAACAATTTCATCCTCAAGAACTTCCCAGCATTACTAAGTACTGGTGAGTTTGTGAAACTCCCCTTTGAGCGCCTTGCCTTTGTCCTTTCAAGTAATAGCCTTAAGCACTGCACGGAGCTAGAACTCTTCAAGGCCGCCTGTCGCTGGCTACGGTACGAGGAACTGCGGATGGAATGTGCAGCCAAGCTCATGAAGAACATCCGGTTTCCTCTGATGACCCCCCAGGATCTTATCAACTATGTCCAAACAGTGGATTTCATGAGGACTGACAACACCTGTGTCAACTTGCTCTTGGAAGCCAGCAACTACCAGATGATGCCCTACATGCAGCCTGTGATGCAGTCGGAAAGGACAGCCATCCGTTCAGATAATACCCACCTGGTCACTCTGGGCGGCGTACTCCGGCAGCAGCTGGTTGTGAGCAAGGAGCTGCGGATGTACGATGAAAAGGCCCACGAGTGGAGGTCCCTGGCCCCCATGGATGCACCCCGCTACCAACATGGCATAGCTGTGATCGGGAACTTCCTCTACGTCGTTGGTGGGCAGAGCAATTACGACACGAAGGGAAAGACGGCAGTTGACACTGTCTTCAGGTTTGATCCTCGGTACAATAAGTGGATGCAAGTGGCATCTTTAAATGAGAAGCGAACCTTCTTCCATCTAAGTGCCCTCAAAGGACATTTGTATGCAGTCGGTGGTCGAAATGCAGCTGGTGAGTTAGGTAAGTGCTTACTTGGGACCGAACAAAGGACCAAAATAGTCCCCTGACCCTGACCGGTGGACAAATTCCATTCTATTATATGCAGATGCAGCTAATACTGTTTTCTTTAAAACATTTAATGCTGGAATAAGTATCCTTGGAGCTTGTTTTCAAATTACCTAACCTTAGCATATTGGTGTTAACTTAAGTTCACCTCCCTGTTGTATGAATAAGATGGTGACTGCTGTGTTGATGTGAAATAGTCTGCCTGCTAATTGTGGGTTTTCTGTACGTTGTGCATCATGCAGAACCCAAATTCTGCCTCTGGTCCTTGAGCATCTGCTGCCTCATAACTGTGGTTCTGTTACTGGAACTCTGTAGGTGATGTTCACCAGCGGCATTCTACTGATGATGAACCTTCCTTAATTTCTTTTTCCTTGATATGCTCTGGCTCTTTCCAGTTCCCATTTTAAGCAGTTACCTTGAGCGTTCTGTGGGCTGTTGAATAGTTGCATAGATTTCCATAATCAATTTGATCCATTTTTATGAAAATCAGTAGCTGACTGGCTGTGCTTATGATTTGGGGGCTGAAGTACCCTCTGCCTTTTCATTAATTGCATTGCAAGTCATTTTTCACTTTAATTGTGACCTTCATAGATATTTGCAGCAAAAGGGGCGAAGAATTAACATAATCTTCTCTTTCTGCCATAAAAGAAATAGCTAGGAGCAGAGAGAGGAGTGGGTTTGGTTCTGCTTTCTCGATGCGAAAGCACAGCAAGCAGATGACCTTTGTGACTCTCCTTGGCTTGCAACAGCAAGAACTTTCTGAAGAAGCACACTTTGTAATCTTGCATTAGGAAAATATAGGGTGTCCTTGGGGTTTTGCTCTTTCTGGGGTTTAAAAAAGTGTCTAAAAAATATTCCCCTGAGTTCTGCTGTGACTTAACTCTAGTATAGGTAGGAATTCTAAGCAATATTATTCCCTGAGAAGTACCTCTCCTGGCCCTGCCTTCCTTGGATTGGATTGGAAGTGGCTGCAGTCAGGGCTTTTTTATGCCTGAATGTCTCCACTAAGTAACAGCAGTGGTGTTTGGGGAGGAGCAGACATGCATGTCTGGAGCGCTTTTCTGGAGGAATCCCAAGAAGGCCACACAACGTGAAGGGGTGCCACACAGAAGGTCTGGTTCAGGCACCATCACACATGAGGCAGGTGCTTTGTGGCATAGCAGCCCAACCCTTTCCATTCTTTCCCCTCAAAAAGAGAGAAAGGGAGGAGGCCGCAGAGTGATGATGGTGTGAAGCAGGCAGATGCCCTCACATCCCTCTGTGTGGGGTCTTTTTCATGTGTTGAGGGAGGGGAGACATGGGTGGGTGGGCAGCACCAGCTTCTCCTGTGCACGGAAAGGGATGCTGCCTCAGAACGGACGTGAGCCGGGCACCCAGGTCCGAGCTCCTCGGCACAGAATCGACTTCTGTCTGCACATGCTTATTATGCTAGATGTGCAAAGGAGCACCGAGCATTGGTGCTCTATGGCACATGCCAGAGTTTGTCTGTCTGGGAAGAGGTGCCTCCCTTTCACTTGACGTTGTTAACCCCAGCATTGCAGGGGTGCTTCAGCTCCTCCATGCGTGGCAATTAGTGGCCCCTGTGAATTAAGGGCACACGATTTTACTCCGATTAAGAGATAAGGGCTGCCCAGTAAAAGCAGTAATGTTGGGGTGCATGAAAAGATTAACAGGTCCTTAATCCACCATTTTTTTCTTTGCATTTTGAAGGTGCTGCAAGCCCCCTGTATCATGTTCATATTCACCCAACAGGCTACCAAACCTTAGCCCTCGGAGAGCGCCATTTGGTGGCAAGCTCAGCTTAACTTTCCCTCTGCCCTTTAAATGTGCATGGTACTGCTCTGGAGACCATGTGGGAAGGTGGATGTTGATGTCCTGACTTGTTTATATGGTTGCTGCATTTTAAAACAAAGCATTGCTTTTGTAAAAAATAAAATCCAACTTTCTACACAGGGTTCCAGGGGTCCCTGCATTAAAGAACTGATCCCTCTCAGCTTCTTTGTCAAGTCATGTGGTGGCAGCAGCATCAGGTGTTCCCAGGTACAGTGGTACCTTGGCTCACAAATTTAATCTGTTCCAGGACTCTGGTCATGAGCCAAGATAAATTTCCCCATAAGGTTCAATGTAAATAAGGTTAATCCGTTCTGTAACCATTTTTTAAATCAGAAAAATGTGAAGCATAGTGACAAAGGACAACAAAGATCGTGGCCATCCCCCCCCCCCCCCGCACAGAGTGTGGCCATCTCCCCGCCCCCCCGCCACACACACAGCCACGATCGCCATCCCTGCACGTGCCCGTCATCCCAGCTCACTGTGGGGGAGAGACGGGTATGAACACGGGCGCGCTGGGGGAGTGCGGGGAGAGACAGGAATGATCGTGCTGGGGTTGGAGATGGCCAAGATTACGGTTGCGCTTATGCGGGAAAGATGGGCATGATCTCAGCCATCTCTTCCCCCCCACCCACCCGCCTCCAGCACGATTGTGGCCGGCCATCTCCCCACTCGGGGGTGGGGAGATGGCTGTAATCGCGGTTGCCGCCCGATGAGGAGTTCGCGACCTGAGTCGAAGCTTTTGTGAAACTTGTTTGCGACCCGATTTGGTTGTGAACTGAGGTGTTCATGAGCCAAGGTGCCGCTGTAATTCACTAGCCACACCAGTTTCCAGATCAAGTGCTTTTCTCAATTGCCCAATAGCTGAAGTTTACTTTACAAAGTCCGTTCACTTTTTCCAAATGTGAACTTGGGCCCGACTGTCTGATGTTACCAACAAAAGGCATTCGTGACAAATACCATGTTGGAGATGGTGCAGGCGACCAAACTCTTGATCGTCTGGCCTTTGGCAAGGACGCCAGCTTTATGGCGAAGCACCTGTGTTGCACCTGGGAGGTCCCAGGTTCAGCGTGTGGCAGCCTTTCTCGTTTAAAGAAGGGTTAGGATGCTGGCTCTGTGAAAACCTCAACCAGAGATCCTGGAGAGCACTGGCCCATCAGGCAGTGTACAGGTTAGGTGGGCAACTGTCTGGCCTCGTGTGAGGTGGCTTTGGGTCCATCGGAGCTTGTTGCCACAACAGATGTTCAGCAGCCTTCTTAGCCTTTGGGTTGGTGCTTCCTTTGGGCAGCCTGCTGGTTGGAGAACAGGTGTTTCAGGCTAGGAAGATTAACCCCTGCCAAAGTTTGCCTGAAAGAATTCTGCCTTTCAGAGTGGGATGTGGATTACTCACCTGTGGGTGGTAGCAGGGTGTGGGTGGTCCATGGGCTTCTTACGCAAGTAGCATTGAAAGGGCTTCTGCAGAGCTAGATCATGCCGTATGATGCACCCAGCATTCACTTGTGTGGGCTAATGAGGGTGGGATGCACATCTTTGTGCTGCCGGAGGACTGTTAAACACAGCCTCAGATGTACATTCCAGAGTGACTTTAGCAGCAGTTTTACCTCTGCATATGGATTCAATGTGATACCAGAAGAGAATGAGATTGCTGGGGGAAACTTGTTATCTTCCTTTCCTGGTGTTTTTTTTTTCCAAAAAATGGTCACTCAACATATCCAAAACCTCAGCCTCCAAATCACTTTTGGTGATATCCTCTGTATTGCAGAGAGTTAGCATACCAGTCAATGTGTGTATATATCTGATTGAGGAGAAATTACTAACTAAACCATCTTCAGTGAAGAAAGACTCGGTCGATCCACTGAAGTAAAAATGAGCCATGTGTAACTCCTTAGAGGGAAAGGCTTTCAAATTTGCAGACCTTTTTTTAGCTCTGGCATCCTTCATAAGTAGTGCATCATAAAGATGTTTAATGAATAAAATCAATTCAGTCACCCTTTATCAAATCTGGATTTCAGGGCAGTGTGTAATTAAACAGCAACATCATTATCACAGCAACATAATCAAACACAGCAAGTGAAACTCCACAAATAATGCAGAAGCTGTTACATAGATGTAAAATGGCCAGATGAGTAAGGATATCTTAACCTCACATCTGATTATCAGAAATACCTTTTGAGAGGGGATGTTCCCAATGCAGGGCAGCACCAGTGCAAAGTCCTTTCCTACATAGCGCGTGTCTGTCTAATAAGGAAGGTACTCAGAACCAGATGTGAGCAGAATGCTTTACGGTGTGGGCAGTCTGGTATGGATAGAGATTTCTCTTCAAGTGTGAGGACCCAAACCTTCTAGGACTTCAAAGCATCGGCACAGAAGTGAATAGGCAAGCTATGCAGACCTGTTAAAACTGGTGCAATGTGAGGGAACTTGCCCACATCAATTAAAACCTTGGCAATCAAATTCTGCACATGCTGAAGGCTCTCTGTCATTTTCAAGGGTGAAATCGATCTTTTGTTTAAGGCTATTAAATATGTGAGGCAGGGGAGAGTCGAAAACAAGGTGATGTGGCTCTTTTGTCCAGCTTAGAGTGTGCAAAGGAATCTTGATTTTGTTTGCTTGTTTGTGTTAAGATGAAGATAAAACAGAACAGATTATCTTCTGGTGCACGTAGTTCTTGGTTAAGGATGGCGAATCTCATAAGAACATAGTATAATTTTGTGTATGCTGAAGCTGCAAGCCTAGTAATTCAAGTTAAAGCATTTTAAAAGACGCTTCAGTACTTCAGGGGATGATTTATGGTTCTGGGGGGTGTTAAGCCTCCCTTATTACTAGAGAAGTAAAAACTTTGTGGGGAAAAGAAGCTGAGAAGGCTTATTTTAGGGGTTCAGCTGCATTTTGAGCCCGGTTCTCCTGGGCTGTGTCCTTGCCTTCCACAGTTCTGACTGAGTTGCTGTGTGGCTTTCATTAGTACCTCCAGGATTTATTCCTGGGGAGTCCTTCCCTCTATTGGCTTAGGCCGTCAAAGGCCTTTCCTTTCAAGGTAAGCCGCCTCATGTCGGGACTGTGGGCCGCTTCCCTGAGGCACATAAATGGCTTGACACGTCACCTCCTGGGAACATGGAGAAGGAGGTGGGAGCCGACATGGAGGCTTTAACCATGGCAACTAGCCCTGGGCATGTGCAAGTGGTAACTAGGCGCACATGAGATGATTGTCCCTGGGATAGCAAGCAGTTGCCGTTTGACACCTGTAAAGCACCAGCCTTTTAAGGGTCTGTTCAGATGTGAAAAGATAAGTCGTGCCCTGCTCATTCTCTGATGGGCATGCACAGGGAGGAAAAAGGAAAGCAAGCATTGCAGCAGGGTTGTCTGCTGTGATGGCGAGGACCAGGTTTATCTCCCCTGCAATGTACATTTTCATTTTTTCATTATCAGTTTACCTTTTCATACCTCCTAGAATGCACAGGGCAGTGCAGCACAGGCGCAGCCTCCCGGTAGCTGATGGAAGGGCCCAGAATGTGTGTGTCTTTGTCTCTGCAGTTCCCGTCGTGCCGCCTGTAGTTTTGTCCTGCAGATGCCAGAAGCCAACTTAAGTTGACCCAGGCTCACTTGAAACTGGCAGCTAGATTTCAGGTCTGAAGCCCCATTGCAAGCTTGGAGGGGTATATGTTGGCTTTTTTCCTCTGCAGTGAAGCTTGGAAGGGGCAGAGCCATGGTACACGAGCATAGAAGATAATTCGTCAATATGGTAGACTAGCAGACCAGAACAGGGAGCCTGCTGTGTTCTGGTGTGGAAGTGAACTGTAAAATTGTGATTTGGGAACCTGTCTGTGTATCTGCAGGGCCTTAAAATAAAACTGCCTACATATTCAGAATAATGGCATGGCACAGCCCTGTTGAGACAGCACCATGTTAAAATGCAGGTTGGGGACTGTTTGAAAAGCACCCCTCTCCTTTTAAGGTGAAGGGCAGCTCCCTGCGGTCGGTGCACACGTGCCTAGGAAGAGGGCTAGGCTAGAACCTTTCTTCCGGATGTGAGGTTTTATGTATTTTCTACAGTGCAGTCCAGCTGATGTGGGATCTTACGCCATGCATTCAGACATTGCAGCCCAGCTAATGGGATATGAAAACTGCAGTGTCGTGATGTGTGATTTTGTTTTCACATCTTTAGTTTTTGGCCCTGTCAAACAGATGCAATTGCAAGGAAGATGGGAGAGGAACCCAGGCACTGTGTCTGCGTGTGCTTTTGTTAACTAGGAGCAGAAGCAAAAGGGTTGTTTCTGCATGTCCACTGGCACATCAGCGGGCTGAAATGAACAGGCTTGAGGGGGTCCGTCACAGCTAATGGCGGTTCTGAAAGGCAGCAAAGGCTTTTGAGAGGAATGCCAGAAGTTGCAAAATAGTTTTGTGTTCAGTAGTTTAAGTAACTGCACCTGCCTTATTCGGCAGGTGGCTGGAAGGTCTTTCCCTTATCAGGTCAAATTGATCGCCGCCACCGCCGCTGCTGATAAACTGGGCTTTATTGCTGAGAGCAAAGCGGGCTATCTGGTTGGCCATGTATTGCTGGAAGACTAACATACTCATTTAAAGCTTGTTATTAGGCCTTCTCCCCGCCACCCAGAGTTTGTATTTCTAGTAAAATGGTTGCTGTAATCATTTCTCATGATGAGTATGGACTGCAGTTGGGAATTACGGCTTCTACACTGCTCAGTGGCATTGTGAACATTTCGGATTTATGAACGTTCTTTTCCCAGATCTTCAGTGCAGAGATAAAAAATATGGCTTCCCTTGCACTGCAGGGTGAGGAAAACCTACTCGTGCTTTTGGAGTGATGCAAATGTTCAGAATGCTAGGCAAACGCAACCGCTTCCCCTGCCCTTGAATAGAAAGTGTGACTTGCTTGGAGGAGAGGAGAGAAATGGTGAAGTTCTCGATAGCCTCGCTTACTTACCTTTTCAGCTTTTGTTTTCAAACAGCTACTGTGGAATGCTACAACCCAAGGATGAACGAGTGGAGCTACGTGGCAAAAATGAATGAACCCCACTATGGCCACGCTGGGACCGTGTATGGGGGGCTTATGTACATTTCAGGTGAGCCACCTTCTGAGAGAATCCCCCCCCCCACAACACCCCTGAACTTTCACAGCATGGAAGCCACAACTGCTACCTTCCCAAGTGGACTCCTGTCGCATTTTGCAAGCAGGGATTCCCATCATTTCCCCCAGAAAGGTTCAAACAGAATGTGCTGTGAAATCGTCAACATTCCTTTTAGATTCATTTATCCCAGCTTGTTGGTTACCTGCTTCTTTTGAAATGCCCTCTATTAGGAGCTGTTTTGTGGCAGCTTTATTTTTAAAACCTCCAGAGATGCATTTTGTAGGGAATCAAAAAGGTAACTTCCTTGCTGCCTCCAATCCTATAGATGTCCCTATTGTAAAATGGGCTCCTTTTGTCTGGGATGAGTTATACCTCAGGGAGGCCTAGAAAATTCAATGAATGCTCTGATAAATACTGCATCCTTAGGCTAGAATCAGAGAACTTTGAAGTCTTAGTAGAGTATGTAAATCATAGTGCACCATCAAAGGGGTAGGATGTGAAAGAGACAGAAAGAGAGACGGGGCTACAGAGCCAGCTTGTTTCCATTCTATCTGATTCTCATCAAAACGCTCTAGTTTCAGTCCTGTAGCCGAGAGCAATAGGTACCCTGAAAGAGTAAGCAAACAAGTCCTCGAGCGCTTGTCCTCTCCGGGGAGGGCGGCAGCAGATGGACGGAGCATGCAAGACGAGCTTTTCTGCCTCCTTGTTCTGAAAGCGCCACCCTGGGTGGGAACTTAGCTCTGCAAGCGCAGCGCCAGACTCCTGTGGGAAGGCGTGCGTGCGTGCGTGCGTGCGGCCTCTCGCCGTCCGATGGGTGGGCAAGACCTAGTGCAGGAGGGGAGCAGAAGCGCTGGGAGTGGAAGGCCTTGGCTGGGCCCCGGCGCCTCTCTGTGAGAGCTGCTGCATGGCAGGTGTGGGGAGAGGCCCGAAAGCTGCCGTGACTCAGTCCGGCCTCGCGCGTGGCCCGGGACAAGGCAGCACAGTCGGTTCACAGGCTGTTGCTGCTGGCTCCAGCAGTCGGCTGTGTCCGCGAATTCAGCTCGGGCGGAATCCAGGTCCTCCGCCGATTCCGCAGCACCTCCCCTGGGGCAAACTTCATGTCGCGGAAGCACAAAAGGCGCCACAGGCCCAGACTCTCACAGGAGGGCAGCCTCCTCTGCTGGAGGCGCATTGGATAGCCACTGCCCTCAGTCCTGAGGGCTTGTGCTGAGCAAGTCTGTTGGCACCATCAACTTGGTCGGTAAAGCAGCAGCAGGGTCTTGGGGGATTTATTTCGATCCTGAAGGAAGTCAGGCAGCATTGCTTGCTGCAGAGACACCTTTCATGGTAGGATGAGTCAATCAATGCGGCAAACTTCACTGTTGTTTTGAGAAATGGCTACCCCCTCCCCCAGCCGTCCCATCCGCCACCCCAGTCAGCAGCCATCCACACCGAGACAGGGCCCTCCTCCCGCAGAAAGATTATGACTCATCGAAGGCTCAGATGGTGGTTATTATTTTTTAGCAATAAGGTATTTTCAAATTAAGGTATGTGCATTGGTTGTTTGAGACATACATAATGCTACTGCACACTTAATAGACTACAGTATAGTATAAACATAACTTTTATATGCATTGAGTAACCAAAAATCTGTGACTTGCTCTGTTGCGAAATTCTCTTTATTGGGGTAGCCTGGAACCAAGCCTGCAATATCTCTGAGGTATGCCTGTATTGCCTCCTTTTCAAAAATCAAAGCTAATTGCAATTTTAAGAATATACAATAAAACAATAGAACAAAACTCATCAGAATAAAAGCAGACAGTCAGCAAACCAAACACAGCAACCAAATGCAGAACAATTGGAGGTCTAAAATTAAATACGATAAATGCACCTAGGAATAAAAAATGTGTTTGGCAAGTGCCAGGTCACAATGCATTGCCAAAAGTTAATGAAGTGAGAGAAACTGCATTGCTTACCAGCTTGGTTGGGCACAGTCCTGTGCTCTGAGATGCAAAATGATCACGCATAAAACAGAGCATGGGAAATGTATTTCAGCCCTTCCCCATATTAATTCTCCCTTGGGCCCTCCCCTAAACTTGAAGGACATTAATTTTTCTCCCCCCACAAGCTCCTCTTGACACTAACATTTGGGAAAGAGGCGTCCCTCCTCACACGCTAGCTTCATTTGCGTATGAGCAGTAAATGCAGCCACCTAAGTTGTTTCATCTTCAGAAGTGCTGTTGCCACACAGCTTCTCTGCATGGAGCCTGAGAATTGCAGTTCTGTGGCTGCGAGAAGACATCTGAACTGCTCTGCCGAAGTACATTTTCACAACCCTTGAAAAAGAAAAGAACTTAATTTTGTAGTGTAAATACACCTGGATATGAGTGATTATGGGGAAGGAGGGGCCTTCGGGAAGCAAACATGCCACAAGAGTATGGACTTGTTGGTCCCCCATCAGTCCCAGTGCCATGAAGCAGTGCAAAATTTATGACATGACTTCTGTCATCAGTTTCAGCGAGAGTACATAAATTAGACACAGGAAAAGAGGTTTAGGCAGGCTGGCGTATCTTCCTGTAAATAAATATGGCGCACCTGCATCATCTGATTAATGGTCGTCTGCTGGGTGTCCTTCACTGATGAAGCGGGACGGCCTGAACTGAGTTTTGTGCTTGGAGGCCTCTTAGGGCAGTGTGTCGTGCAGCGCCTTGTTGCTTCAGCTGTGGCGGCTCTCCCCGACGTCTCGTCGTGCCCTTCTTGGCCTCGCTGGCGTTTGTTTTATGCTGGGTGTTCGGTTTCTCTCCCACCAGGAGGCATCACGCATGACACTTTCCAGAAGGAGCTCATGTGCTTTGACCCTGACACGGACAAATGGACTCAGAAAGCTGCCATGACCACTGTACGGGGCCTTCACTGCATGTGCACCGTTGGTGACAAGCTTTACGTCATTGGTGGGAATCATTTTAGAGGAACCAGTGATTACGATGATGTTCTGAGCTGTGAATATTACTCGCCAACCCTCGACCAGTGGACACCAATCGCCGCAATGCTTCGCGGGCAGAGCGATGTCGGGGTGGCTGTGTTTGAAAATAAAATTTATGTTGTCGGAGGATATTCGTGGAATAACCGCTGTATGGTGGAAATAGTCCAGAAGTACGACCCAGAGAAGGATGAGTGGCACAAAGTTTTTGACCTCCCAGAATCCCTCGGGGGCATCCGTGCCTGCACACTGACAGTATTCCCTCCGGAGGACAACGCGGGGTCGCCTTCGAGGGAGTCGCCCCTCTCCGCACCTTGAGACGCGTCCTGCTAGACTCACCGTATCATTGTCCAACGCCGCCGCGCTGCGTCGGGGGTCCTCCTCTTATTTGTCTTCAGTAGTATCTATTAAGGCTGACCCTGAAGCAGCCAGCACAAGAACAGGGCAGGGAGTGGGGCGGGCGGCAAAGGCAAGCGCCGCACTTTCGGTGCTGCTTGGTCGTCCGGGTTGTTTATGGAGCGGACGAGAGGACGTTCTGAGCAAAAGGTCTCGTGAAGCCAAATGTATAACGAACGGTGAAAACAAGGTGTCTTAACAAACGAATCTTCACATTAGGTACATCGGTGTCGTGTATTGGGTGCGAGGGTGCCGTGCAGCAGCGAGCCAGGCTGCGGGGAGAAGCACCGCACGTGGGGCATCTCGTGCGTGACGCCTCGGACCTGCGGGGCTTGGTTTCCTCACTTGCCTCGCGTGGGAGGGAGGGCGGGAGGGCGACAGGGAGGCCGGCCGGCCGGCGCACGCACGCATCAGAAGCTCTCTGGCCCCAGCTAGCTCCAGGGAGCGGGACCTGTTTACTGACTCGACTCTGGAGTCTTTTCCGGAGGATGTGGCAGGCAGAAGAAACCCGGCAGTTTTGAAACAATAGGCAGACCCTGAATCTGTAACCAGGGTGCTTTTTAAATAACCTATTAAGACCTTTTCTCCCTGATCCACCACATAAAAATTGAAAAGTATCTGAGGTTTTTAATGATTCAGCTTTCTTTTCCCCCTTCCTGCCCGCCCCCTTCAGCTCGAGTCATTCTGGGAGCCTCTTCGTTCAGGAGAATTCAGTTCAGTTGGGCTGCGACCTGGTGGATGCCTGCACTGGATTTTAAGTAGACAAGGGCTAGAAACTTCTTACTTGTTAAACCACTAAAACTTTGATCGAATGGTCCCCTTCAGATTATAGTTAATCTTCCTTTCCCCTACCCGAGCCCTTGTCTCCAAATATCCTTTTGTGGGTGGGAGAACTCGTCTCTTACACCTCTGTATAAAATCTCAGTTACTACGGTTATTTAGCACAAAATGCAGCTTTGACAGAAAGCTGCTTTTGCTCAGAGAATTCAGACTACCGTGTTTCTTTTGTTCAATAAAATCTTTAACTGCAATTAGTTTGGTGTTTGTGTTTTGTTTGTGTTTTGTTTTTAAGAGGCCTCATTAAGGTTCCTTCTTCCACCTCCCTGTTGCCAGGTAACGTCTGTGTCAATCTCTGGTGTGGGAAGCACAGCCTCCTGCAAGAGCTTCCAGAATGGGGAACTTGGCCCCTTTCTCAAAAGCTCCCTCTGGGCTGAACCCACTGTCAGATGCCGTGCCTGCAGGGGATAGGCACCATCTGCATGAGCTGAAGAAGGCTTTGCCCCCCGTGGGTGGGGCTGCGCTGGAGGGAGGGAGATGGACTTGGGTGGGAGAGGCCCAAGCTCAAACCACACTTCAGCCAGGCTGGCCACTCTCTCTTCGCCCAGCCTAAAACCGTGGCATCAGTTTGGTAGGCCGCTTGATTCTGCAGCAGGAATGCAGCTCAGGATTTTGGCTGAGTTAGGAGATGCGGGCTCTCCAGGCCGAAGGGTAGCTTTCCAGATGCTGGACCATAATAGGATTCAGCACCAAGTCTGCAGAATGTTAGTAGGCAGACTGGAAGTTGTTCTGCAGGGAAGCCCATCACAGCGTTGGCATTGTGCTGGTACTTCTCGTGTGCACAGCGTCATCCTGGAAACTGCACTGCTTGGAAGAGAGGCTGCAGTCCTCTCTGCTTTTTGGATTCAGCCCCTGGGATATTGGAGACCAGCTTCTGCTCCCCATCCCTAGTGAGACTTTTGACACAGGAAGACCTTCCCCACCCTCTTGTCAGGATAGCTGACCACAGGCCCCTTGGCTCCATTTGGAAAGCTTACCAAGCGGGCTAGTGAAGGCTGAAAAATCAAATAGCAAGGAGTCCTCTCCCTTTATCCCCAGGAGTCTCTCTCCTGCAGCCCGAGGACACACAACGCAATTGCTCTTCTCTGTGTCCGCTCTGCTGACATGAGCAATGCAGCCCCATTCTGAAGGACGGGGCAGAAATGGGCTTGTTGGAGCAATAGCTCCCAAGGCCCACGAGGTGCTGCAGGAGGCCTTGCGAAAAGAAACTCCTGTGAGTTGCAGAGGCCACTCTCAGAGGAGCCTCCCAAGTCTTTCTCTGCATCGTTGCTCTGAGTTTTTCAGTAGGGAGGCAACCCAGAAGGGTAACAGATGCAAAAGCACGTTGATGTGAGCAGCTCCAGGGGCTGCTAACTTAGGTTGAAATTTTTATGTGCTCTTCTAATACTGTTTTTCTAACAACTAGCAAAAGTCTGGAAAACACCGTAGAGACTTGTGTTCTGAGCATGCGAACGGCTGGAAAGATGGTATATTTGTTTATGCTTAAGACTTGTAAGTATTAGGCCAAATATGTCTGTGTAGTGCGACACATTCAAAACCCTTCCATTCATCTCTGTGATCCTTAAGAGAATCCTATGAAGTAGGTCAATATTGCCTGCATATTGGGGGCTGAGTCTGCCAACTTGATTCATTATAGATATTTTTATACTGCGATTCAGTAAAAGTTCCCAAGGCTGTGGGTTTGCATAAAAAGAGAATACAAAATTATTACAGAAGACAAGCGATGAAATCCAGTAGCCAGAAACTCAGGAGTATAAAAAACAGCCAAATCTGAAAAGCCAGTTAAAAAGAGTGTTGGGATTGAAAATGTCTGGGGAAACAGAAAAATCTACTGATGAAGTGGTGACAATATACACTTCAGGTAAGAAGAGCAGTTTTAATCAGGGTTTTGCTGAGTGATTAGAATACATTCCATTTCAGCATGGGACCTCGCAGCGCATCAGTGCAGCACTATTGATTCCATAATGTTTATCCTTCATGCTGGGGTGCATGAGTTCTACCCTGAAAGGAAAATGTCCACAGTTGATATTGCAGAAGAGTTCAATTAGTCAAGATTTCGCTGATCTGCCAATATTAAAGGATTCTAGGTGTTGATTGATTTGTACCGGTGTGGTGTGATGATCAAGAGTGTGGGACCGGGACTCTGGCGATCGGGATTCTGGTCCCCACTCAGCCATGGAGCCCCCTGGGTGACTTTGGGCCAGCCACAGACTCTCAGCCCAACCTACCTCACAGGGTTGTTGTGGGAATATGATTTAGAGGAAGAGAAGAATTTTGTAGGCCGCCTTGCCTTCCTTGGAAGGACAAAAGGCAGGATATAAAAATAATGAATATAAATACATAGAGGCCTTCTGGACATTGCCGTGGTCTTCCAGAGGAGCACAACCTATGTGTTACCCTGCCCTGCTTTCAGCTGTTTTCTCATCGGAAGTCTCCTGTTCGGTTGGATGAGAGATGGAGGATAAAATGGTTGACTGTGTTTCAGAACAAACAGCTAATTTTGTACTTCTGAATCTATGCAAACATGCTCAGTTGTCCTTTGTAATTTGCTCTTTGTTGAATTTTGTCATGTTCTCCAGTAAAAAAAAAAAAGCGTACAAGAACATGGGTAGTTGGGGAGGTGCGTGCAAAAATGCATCTATCGGTGAAAAGATTAGAAATGCACCGTCTGCAGGACTGCATATATTAGGCAAAAGGGCGTGCAAAAATGTTTGTGTTAGGAGATACAGGCGTACAACTGAGTACAACAGTCATGCAACCTTTAAAAAATTCTGTGCTCCTGGAGTGGTGGAGAGGATAAATGAAGGAGGAAGTAGAGGTCCATGTATACTTCCTTGGGCTCCTTGCAGGGGATGGAGATGCAGATGTAAATTTAATAAGGTACAAAAAGCAAAATCGGCAGATTGTTCCATAATTAGGCATGACCTGCCCTCTCTCTCTGTACTCGGAAGGCCAGCCCTTTGCAACCTGCTCTCTGCTCCTCAGAACCTCGCCAGAATGCAGTGCTGCTCCCTCATCTGCCCCGGTGGCTTTCTTGCATACCCAGCTGTTCTGGAAGCATCTGCGACTGAGGAGGAGGACTTCTCCAGCCCTGTACCTGTAACGTTTTAAATTCGCAGCTGTTCCGTGGGTGTTGCTGAGTCTAGCCAAAGGAAGTTGCTTGCATGTTGCCGACACCTGATCCTTCTGGAGCGGCTGCTGCAGGATGAAAAAGTGTGTGCTTTTTCTCTCTGTGTCAGTCAGTGTGTTGTTTTTCTGTTTTAGATCTTGTTGTTTTCCTTACCTGGTTGGTCATCTGCCCCATAGCAGAGTTCTCTGCTTGGCTTGCAATGCACAACAAGAAAAAGCAGTTTAAATGCAAAATGTAAAAGCAATGCATTGCAGATCTTGTTTTCTAATCCTGCTGTGCAGAACCTGGCTACTGTTTTCAGCCTACACACTCCCCCCCCCCCCATTCCACATGTAGTCAGTTGTGACTATCTTGCACTGAGTATCTTACCCTCAATCAGACCCTGGTTCCAACACTGACCGGCAGCAAAAGCTCCCCAGAATTTCAGGCAGGGTTGTCTCTGGCCCTGCTCAGAGATGCTGCCAGGGACTCAACCTGGCTGTCCCCACTGAGCCATAGCATATGGGAGGTCTTAGCCCTACCTATGGGCAAGGTGGCTGTAAATGTGTTAGTCACCTCTCTGCCAGTGGGCATCGGCGGCAGAAAGAGACAGCAACTAATCTTTGGACTCTGGATGCTGGTGGACAGAGTCCACCGTCCTGTCTTCCCCAGCGACCTGTGCCCAGCCAGGTGCTTGAAGCCAACAAAGGGCATGCAGACAGAGATAGCTGTGCTACTTGTGCTATAGGCCAGGTTCACCTGCATGGTCAGTCGCCTTGGGATGCAGCTGCTTCACCACCGTCGCCTCCTCCATGGGTCCCTCTGGTCCCCTTCTAAAGCTCTCTCTCAGTTGCTCCCTTGGGTGCCGTTCCATTGATTGGATTTCCCTTTGAGACCGTCACTCTGTCCTGAGAGGGAGTGTGCCGGATGCCCTGCAGATGCCACCTGCACCCCTGGCTGCACTCTTCCCCGGCACACGTGTGCCTCCTCAGTGCAGGTCTGTGTGCATATCTGTTGTTTAGTATTTTCCTTCCTTCAGCATCAAGAGCGAAATCTGTATTATTTCTTCACTGCATTCCTTCAGCATAGGCTCCCTTGGGCAGTTTACGAAGTTGGAAACACCATAATTGATGCAAAGCATCTATAATAAAAACAATCCCTTTAATAACTACCATAATACAAGAAAGCATAGTACAAAATTCAACCAGCACCACTGAAGCTAAATCATTCAGAGGTACAGTAAAATACGGTAAAAATGAGGATAAAAATCTAACTGTTAAAATTTTGGCTTTTGCCTGGCACTGAAAAGAAGAGGGAGTAGGTGCCAAGCGCACCTCTTTGGGGAGCGGATTCCAGAATCAGGTGCCACGGCTGAAAAGGCCCTTCCCTGAGCCGCTGCCCTCTGGATCTCCCTAAGAGGGGGCTCTCTGAGAAGGGCCTCAGGATGATGGCCTGAGCGTCCAGGAAGGCACAATGGGAAGAGGCGTTCCTGTAGATTCCCTGGCCCCAAGCCATTTAGGATTCAAATATGAGTGCTAGCGCGTCAAGTGGAGGCCAATGCAGCTGGCAGAGGGTGGCCCGTCCCCGTCAGCAGCCTCGCTGCCCTATTTGAACCAACTGAAGTTTCCGGAGCGTCTTCAGAGGCACCCCCACGTAGAGGGCATTGCAATGGTCCGAGCCAGAGGTTACCAGACGGCGGATCGCTGTTGCGGAGCTCTGCCTGTCCAGGTGGTAAATCGGCTCGAACTGACAGAAGGTGCTCTGCGCCACTGAGTCGCCCCGAGGCTCCAGCAATAGCTCGGGGTCCAGGAACACCCCAGACTGCAAACGATGCTGACCTTTAGGGGAGCGCAACCCATCCAGGGCAAGTTGAATGTCCCTCCACTTGCCAAGTGACCCCTCCACCACCAACAGCATGGAGAGGGAAAGCTCAGCACCATCCGAGTATATAGGTGGCCTCTCAACCCATTCCTCTGGATAACCTGCCCCTGCAGGTTCATGGAGATGTTACATAGCATGAACCCTGCCGTACCCCAGGGCGTAGCTGCCGTGGCTCAGAGCAATAATCCCCCAGCGCCACCTGCC